AAAAAGAGGGAAATTATAATTATAATATAATATATATAGTAGTTGTCGTGTGCCTTCAAGTCGTTCCCGTCTTATGGCGACCCTAAGGCAAACCTATACTTTTTACATTTATTTTTGCTGCAAGAGATTAGAACAATTATTACCCCCCCCGCCATGAAATCTTTGGAAAGATTTAAGGGTTCTTCGTGGCTAAGGGTATCCCATCAAATAAGTGAAGAACTAAATGAATAAGTAAAGGACTGCCATTTCTTGGCAGGGTTCTTCAGAGTGGGGTGGTGGTGCTGTTGCCATTGCCATCCTTTGAGGCTGAGAGAGTGTAGCTTGCCCAAGAGGGTTTATATGGCAGAGGCAGATTCGGTCTCCAGAGTCTTTGACCAACACTCAAACCAGTACGCCACACTGGCTCTCTCTTATATTTCATATATATATATATATGCAGAAATAATTTAGTTTGATACACACAGGCTCTAACATTAGTATTCAGTTATATATTTTGACACTTCAGGATCTTGTCTACTCCATTCATAGCTGTCCTTCCAAGTCCTACACTTCTTCAGATTTCTTTAAGAGTCATGGCTCAATGTTATGGGATTCTGTGGTTTGCCAGTGCCTTCCCCTTAGGCTGAGAGAGTGTGACTTGCCCAAGGTCTTGCTCAATGGGTTTTTTTCATGGCTGAGTGGGGAATTGAACCCTGGTCTCCAGAGTCCAAGTCCAGCACTCAAACCACTACGGCACACTGGCTCTAACATTAGTATTCAATTATATATCTTTACACTTCAGGATCTTGTCTAGTCCCTTCATAGATCTTGTCTAGTCCCTTCCAAGCTGCAGGGGTTTTATTGTTGTTTTATTATTGTATATTTTAAACTTGTTGGAAAATTGGTTTTAATTAAATCTGGTTTAATAGTTTTTTAAGGGGGGTGGGAAATACATTGGTTTTAGGCTGTATTATTTTAATATTGTGAACCGCCCGGATTGTGTCACCAATGGGTGGTATATAAATAAAATTTATTATTATTATTATTATTATTATTATTAAGTCCTAGTCTTCTTCAGATTTCTTGGCTACAGTCAAGATGTTTTATACAAATCCCAGAATTCAATAGCATTGAGCCATGGCTGTTGCAGTGGAGTCAAACCGGATTATTTCTGTAGTGCAGCTGCAGCCTAACGCCTTGGAGGTTTTGAAAGAGGCTAGATAGCCATCTGTCTGCCATGCTTTGCTTGTGTCTTCTAGCATGGTAGAATGGAGTAGGAGTGGATGGCCCTTGGGGTCGCTTCCAGCACTAGGATTCTGTGATCCCAGATCTACCAAATAGTGATACCTTTATGGGGCCAGCCAGAATGCAGGTTGCACACTTCACAGCTTTCCTTGTCAGGCAAAGGTGTTAAAAATAATCAACAGCCTTTGGGGCAACCTTGACTCATGGCAACCCTGTGGATGAGACATCTCCAAGACCCTCTCTTCTCTGCTTTGGTCCTGTAAATTCATACCCATGGCCTCCCTAATAGTCTATCCATCCTGCGTGTGGTTTTCCTCTCTTTCTGCTTCTTTCCATCTTTCCTGGCATTATTATCTTTTCTAATGAGCCCTGCCTTCTCTTAATGTGCTCAAAGTATGACAGCCTCAGTTTGATCATCTTGGCTTCTAGGGAACTTTCAGGCTTGATCTCTTCAAGGACCCATTGGTTTGCCTTTTTGGCCATCCATGGTATCCTCAGCACTCTTCTCCAAACACTGCATCTCAAATGAATTTATTTTCTATTCATCTACTTTCTTTACTGTCCAGCTCTCACATACATACATAGTGATGGGGAATACAATAGCTTGGATTATTCTAGCTCAAGCGCTCAGTTGTATATCTTTACTCTTTAGGATCTTTTCTAATTCTTTCATAATTGCCCTTCCTATTCTTAGTCTTCTTCAGATTTCTTGACTGCTTTCCCCCTTCTGATCAATTTTTGATCCTTGGTAGGGGAATTCTTTTACTATTTCTGTTTCCTCATTGTTTAGTTGAATGTATGTAGTTCCTCCATGGTCATTATTAAAAATCATACAGGAGGGGAAAATATTATGAGGATGTTTTTCACAAGCCTGCATTTTGTCAAGATGTATCTATTCTCAATCCAGCTGGTATTGGAGGGATATTAGGAAGTATCATTGTAGGTGTGTGAGGTGACTGTTTGGGTGCACTTTGAGAGATCTTGGGATGGGAGGGTGTGACAATGTGATATAGTGGGGAGAGGGCTGGATCAGTCAAGCCCTCATTCATTCAGGAAGAAATTCCCAGCTTGATTCCTTGGCTGTTAGTCATTACGTATGTGGCTCAGCATGACCTACCTCACAGGGTTGTTGTTATGAGGATACAGTGGGGGGAAAGGGAGAGGCCTGTATGCCCACCTATGTTCACTGGAGGAAAGGAGGATTGTAAATGTCATAAATATGTGATGAATACCAACAAGGAACCTTGTGTGTGTTGTGTGCCTTCAAGTCATTTCCAATTTATGGCAACCCTAAGGCAACCCTATGATGGGGTTTTCTTGGTAAGATTTGTTCAGAAGAGGTTTGCATTGCTTTCTCCTGGGGCTGAGAGTATGTGACTTGTCCAAGGTCATTCAGTGGGTTTCATGGCTGAGCTGGGAATCAAACCCTGGTTTCCAGAGTCACAGCACAACACTCAAACCACTATGCCAACCTTATAAACCAACAATGCATTTCCAAAAACAGGAACCAGGGAGTGAGCCCCGATTGAGCTCAATAAAACTTACTCCTGAGTAAATATGGACAGGATTGCACTATCTGACTTATTCCATTGGGACTTCAAACCTCTGAGCAAATGTGCATAGGATAAGGCTGCTTGATAGCTGCTGTTATTCTCTCCTCACGTGCAAGTCCTGTTTAGACACAGTGGGAGTGACATCTGAGTCAAGATACGCAGCACTCAGCTGTGTTGGATTTCTTGTGACATATGTTTTTATGTGCTAGAGCCCACCTCCTGCAACAGATGCAGGAAGTGGTATTATCTCTTGGCAGAGATATATAGCTATGTGTGTGTCTATATATATATATGTATATTTAATGGGCATATTGGAAAGCCAGGTAACCATAAAATATCAGAGTTAACAGTCAGTGGCAAGGCAGAGTGTAAAAAGAGAGTCATCAGTGAAAGAGGCTGCAAGCTTGAATGGATAGACATTCCAGGTGACTTCTGCAAAATCTAGAAAGGGGTAGCTGTGTTGGCCGTACAGCAAAGTACAATAACATCCCAAAAACACAGAACACAGCCAGCTAAAATGCACAACATAAATATGCAAGTTTTCGAAGCTCCACTGGCCAGTGGAGCTTCAAAAGCATGCATCATGTATTTTGTACCTTTTAGTTGGCCAATAAAGATATCACTGTTTTGTGGATTTTGCATGTTATTGTACTCTACAAAAGCTCTTATAGTAGTTCCCTTCCATGCATGTGTTTACTCAGTCTTGAGCTTTAGGACTGTGTTTAGGTTAAACTTCAAAGCCCACATGTTAACATTTAAGTGTATACCTTGTCATCTTATTCAAAATATTCAAACCATCAGGGGAGTCTGGGCAAGGTGAAACCTGGCTAATGTAGGAGCAACTCACCCTGTGTCAAGCAAAATATATCAGATAAGGTACATCCTTAGTGGTTAATACACTGATTCTGTTGATTGCAAGATCAGCAGGTTGGCAGTTCAAGGCCCAGGTACCATGTGATGGGGTGAGCTCCCATCTCTAGTCCCAGCTTCTGCCAATTCGAAAGCTTGCAAATGCAAGAAGAGAAATAGGTGCCACTTTGGTGGGAAGGTAAATAGTGTTCTGTGCAGTCATGCTGGCCATATGATCACAGAGTAGTCCTCGGAGAACGCTGGCTCTTCAGCTTGGTAACGGAGATGAGCACCGCCCACTATGGTCGGACACGACTTGACAACATTATCAATGGGGAATGCATTCACTCAACTAGGAAAGATGCAGTTTGTCTCCATATAAACCAAGACAAGTTGATTACTTAATTAAGGGGAAAAAACAGTCTTAAGGGTACAGGTAATTTGGTAGAAATCACAACTGTTTGCAATAATTATTAATTAAAGACTAAAAATAATGATTTAGGAATAACCTCTTTTATTGGAATATTCTGAGCTTTGGGGATATCTTGCCTTGCTTCTTTTCCCAAAGATCTCTTGCTCTTCTGTCTTTTCCTTTCTCTTCTCCTGCTGGTCAGTCAGTGGTGGAAAGATGAATCTGTTTCTGCCCATCCAGCTAGGCTTCTGTTTGAGTCCTTAGCTTTTTCAGTTATCAGGATCCACTGATGGTTGTGGTCTCTAAAGCACAGATAAGTCTAGATTTTTTTAAAAAAATAAAAAAATTGTTTATCTATAATGCCACATTTTCCACAGGAAAAGCTGTTGCATCAGCTTTAGGGTATATTTAAGAGGTAGGAACTGGCAAAACCACCTCTGAGTATTTTTTGCCTAAGAAAACCCTATGAAATTCGTTCATGCTTACGTCCCATTGAAATGGATGGGATTTGTTTGTCAAGTGTAAATTGTTTTCTTAGATTGATGGGATTGATGAAATCTTTGGGGAAAGTGTAAAAAATGTAAATTGAGGAAGATGGCTTTTGTAAAAGATGACCTTTTGTAAAAGATCAGGTGCAACCAAGAGATGTAGTTTGGAGTGCTTAACTTTGGATCCCAGCAAGTCATGGCCTTTCCTAGGTTACTCCATTCCATTCCTCTTGCACCCATCCTCCATGGCCAATTAATCATATAATCATAGGGTTGGAAGGGGCCCCATGGGCCATCAGCCCCATTCTCAATGCAGGAATTTTAGCTAGAGCATCCTCTTACTCTCATTAGAAGTTCCTTCTGATGTTGAATTGTAATCTACCCTCCAGTGACTTGAAACTATGAGACCCAGTCCTGCTGTCCGGGACAGCAAAGAACAAACCAGCCCTTGAGGTATTTAAAAAGTCCAATCAATTTTCCCTTCACTGTGAGAGAGTCCTAGAAAACTGCAGTTGAGCCATCTTTCCCTCCAGAACATGGAGTTAATGAAACTTCCCTCTTGTGCACCAATTTTTTGCAGTTCTGGCTACAAGGTACTGGCTGCAGAATTTAATGTAGTTTGATGCCGCTTTAACTGCCATGGAATTGTTGCATTGGTTGTTTTGTGAGATGTTTAGCCTTCTCTCTCTGTCAGAGAGCTCTGGTTCCACAACAAACTACAAATCCCAGGTTTCATAGGATGGAACCATGACAGTTAAAGTGGCGTAAAACCGCACTAATTCTGCATTGTGGCAGCAGCCAGATCCATTGTCACATAATCAATTTGTGACTGGCATGAAGGATTTCAGTAAGTTCACATAGGTTAGATTTTATTACAGGTTATGGTAGCTAAATGGAACTATGTGTATAGGAGTAGTATATTCATTCAGTGAGGAGACAAACAAAAAGAGCCTGGCTTAGGTGCCTTTGAGTTGCTGTAGCTGGAAATAAAACATTGGGCTAGCTCAGTCGTCATCAGCCTGCTGTCCTCCAGATTTGTTGGTCTGTTTAATAATTGCATCATTACAATGGTAACTTTTGTATGTTTTTGGCTGTAGTTGTTTTATTTGCATGTGTTTTTAATTCTGTAAGCCACCTAAATCCCTGTTCTGGACAGGAAGATGGGAAGAGCATAGCTCCCACCATCTCCAACCAGACAGGGTATGATAGAAGCTGT